TGAACCCCACTGTTTCCAGAGATGTTATGACTGAAAATTTGACTAAAACTCTGATTTGCCCAATTCTATCAAACTGGACAAAAACAGAAGTTGCTGGAAAAGCTCAGCAGGTCTGGCAGCATCCGTGAAGAGAAAATCAGAGTCAAAATTTCAGGTCCAGTGACCCTTCCTCAGAACCAAACTGTCTAATTCAGGCCAAAAAACAAATGCACACTAGATCTTTCCATTAACAAGAAAATTACTATTTATTGTAATCAACCGGTTTTTGACAAAATTAATTGCTAATCTATACAACCTTTTAGAACTCATCCCAAAACACACATGGAAAGAAAACCAGACAAACACAAAAAGGGGGAAGAAAATCATCAGAGGAAGATAGTCCCATATCACCAATCAAAATTATAAAACTAGATGGGTTCGTTCCACAGTCCTTTTCCTTTCTTCTATGGTGCTTCAATACTATTTGCACAGTGATGATCAGTCTGCTGTTTACTTGTTGCTTTGTTGGACCCAGGGGCTTTTCCTGTGGGCTCTAGTATTCTTATTTTCCACAACTGTGAATGTACCTTTTTGATATTGAGTCGGAAAGGTCAACTTTTCAGAGCAAAGGAATTAAGGGGGATGTTGATGCTGCAGGCTTCTGGGGATTCTGTCCTCTTCTGTTTTAATTCCCTCACTCCCACAGGGTTTCTTCAACAACGGTCAGTCCAACAAGAACACAAATGCTGTGCTGAGCTTTCCTGAGTTCACAACAACTGAAAATCAAATCAAAAGATTGTCTCTGGGCAGATTTGCTCCAAATGCAAACAGGAGGTGCCAATTTGTCTGGACTCTGTGCTGTACTGCTCCATGTTCTATGTTCTCCCTCACTGGGCATCAGTAATTTGCTTTTAAAACTGCAAACACCTCATCACACAGTTTCTTGGGTTAATGCAGTATCTTTTCCAATCTTTCACTCTCTGAAAGTGGCAACTACGTGGATAAGGTGGGAAGGAAGGTGTACAGCATGCTTGCCCTTATCAGTCGGGGCACCAGTTTAAAAGTTGGCCAGTCATGTTGCAGCTGAATAAGACTTTAGTCGGGCCACATTTGGAGTATAGTGTGCAGTTCTGGTCGCCACACTACAGGAAGGATCTGGAGGCTTTGGAGAGGGTGCAAAAGAGGTTTACTAGGATGTTGGAGTCGATAAAATGTGGAGTTGGGGGAGCACAGCAGGTCAGCATTTCAGGTTTCAGTCCTGATGAAGGGTCCCGATCCAAAATATCGGCTTTCCTGTGCCTCTGATCCTCTCTGATCTGCTGTGCTCCTCCAGCTCCACGTTTTATCGACTCTGACTTCTAGCATCTGCAGTCCTTGCTACTTCCATTTACTGGATGTTGCTTGGATTGGAGTGTATTAGCTAAAAGGAGAGGTTGGACAAACTTGGATTGTTTTCAGTAGAGCCTCAGAGGCTGAGGAGCGAACTGATAGAAGTATATAAAATTATGAGAAGCATTGATAGGATGGATAGTTGGAGTGTTTTTTTTCCCAGGGTGGAAATATCAAAAATTAGGGGACAAACATTTAAAGTGAGGAGGGAAAGGTTTAAGGGAGATGTCCGGGGGAAGTTTATTCTTTACGCAGAGGAAGGTGGATACCAGAAACGTGTAACCAGGGGGAGGTGGTAGAAGCAGATACGATAGCAAAGTTTAATAGGCATTGAAACAAACACATGAACCGGCAGAGTAGAGGCATACGGACTATGTGCAGGCAGATGAGATTAGTTAAAAATGACATCAGGGCCTGTGCTGTACTGTTCTGTGTTTTAGTCCACAATCCAAAACATAAAGTGGTCTTTACACTCCAATTCTCATCGACTTTGGTTTTCCTTGATGCTGTATTTGATCACATACTATCTTGATGTCAAGGGCAGTCACTCTGACCTCACCTCACAGTTCAGCTCTTTTGACTACTTGGGACCAAGGCTGTAATTAGGTAGGGAGGTGAGTGGTACTGGCAGAATTCACAATAAGCAGCAGTGAGCAGTTTATTGTTGAGTGTCACATAAGAGCAATGGTGTCAACTCTTTCCTTCATGTTTCTGATGATTGAAAGTAAAGGATGGCGAATGACTGGGTCGGATTTGTCATGCTTTTTGTGTACAGGATATACCTGGGCAATTTTTCAAATTGTTGAATAGGTGCCATTTTGCAGCTTACATTTGCAACATTAATAACCTTACAAGTGCCGTCTCTTTCAGATAACTTCCTGCATTATAAATGCCTATAATGGAAATTGCTTATGTAAACTTGCTACACTGTAATTGGAACATCTCCAAGTGACTGCCATGAGAAAATAATTACTATATATCACAACTTTAGATCATCACTTTCATGTGATATAGAATTATACAGAAATTACAAAACAGAAACAGAAACCTTCTGCATGAGCTGCAATCCGAGTCCTTGTACCCACATTGCTTTCCTTCAATCATCTAGATTATTATCTTTAAAATATTCGCGTTGCCTCTGCATCAACAACTTAAATGCATGTTGTATCTTCAACATAATGAGACATTACTAGGCATTCATTGTAAGATAATCAAACAAAAACTGGCACAATGTCAAAAAAAAACATAAAATAAAAGCAAAACACTGCAGGTGCTGGAAATCTGAAAAAAAAAACGCAGAAAGTGTTGGAGAACTCAGCAGGTCTGGCATTATTTGCAGAGAGAAAAGCAGAGTCATTAGTTCAAGTCCAATGGTTTTTCTTCGGGATTGAGACTGATATTTGAAATATTATGAAAGGTGACCAAAAGCTTGGTTAAAGGTTTGCATTTTTAAAGTGGACATGGTGAGGAGCACAAGTTTAGGGAGAGAATTCCAAACTTCGGGAATCAGTCACTAATTTCACAATTACAACTGTTTTTCTAGAAAGCTACTCCATAGGATTGATTGTCAACATTTATGAGACAATTCCATTGTGATTATAAATGCTGCAGGATCAATGCGTTTCTGAGCCCTGGGATGAGCTGAATCATCTGTGATTGTATATATGAACAGGATAATTGACAACTATAGTGGAAGGATGGTATCCTGGCTACGTGAAGGTCAGGGAATTGATTCCGATAATCATGCAGCATAGAAAATGGCCATTGTTCCAAGGTACCTGTGCTAACTCTTTGAATTAGCTATTCAAGTTGACTCAGTTTCACCATCTCTTCTCCAAAGCCCTATAAATATTTCCTTCCAAATACATGATATCAAACATCATCTTACTATTGCTGTGACATGATGGAAATGCAACCTAAAGATGTGGGTGAAGGGAGGTCAGATGAGATCAGCACCTGTACTTCTTTTGATTATTGAACAGATCAGGATGGTTCAGAATCTGGTTTATCAAATATATATACAGAAATATTCAACATCATATAGAATCTAGACATTGTTGATAGGGAGAAACTATTCCATTGGCAGAAGGATTGAGGACCAGAAGGCACCAATTTTAACGCACTTGTCACTTGCCTGCATAAGTACGGCTCCAACAACACCATCCAGGACAAAGTAGCCCACTTGATTGTTTTTGGATGTGGTGCTATTCAGTCCTCCAACATGACACTCAGTAACAGCAGTATGTACCATCTACAAGATGAAGTGCAGAAATTCACCACGTTGGCACCTTATAAACCCACGATCACTACCAATCTAGAAGGTCAAGGATAGCAGGTACCACCACCTGCAAGTTCTCCTTCAAGCTATTTACCATTCTGACTTCAAAATATATCACCATTCCTTCAGCGTCAGTGGGTCAAATTCCCAAAACTCTCTCTACCAAATGGACAGCAGCGACCCAAAAAGGAAACTCACCATCACTTCTCAAGGGCAACTAGGGATGGGTAATAAATGCTGGCAATGCCAACATCCTGTGAATGTATATAAATAAAAAGCAAAACACACGGGACAACATAAGGAAAAATTATTTGTAGACATAAAAGCAGTCAAGATTAGAGTGCACTATCTGTGTTTATGGTGGGGCAGCTTCCGTCATGGCCTTGATGAAAGCGAAACCTCAAAACAGACAAGAAAAACACAAGGCTGTGGGAAATGAGAATTGTCAAGTTGCTCTTGCAGAGTGCTCTTTGTTCTGTGCTGCAGTAGAGTTCACCTCAAACCATTAATCCATCACTCTAATAATTTGCTGTTATTTACTTTGGAGAGTATTACTTAAAATTCTCATGCTAGGGATTTCAGAATGCGTTTTAATATTGAGTAGTCTTAACCCTGACCATTCTAAAGCAACTACCTGAGATGATGAGATAACAAGGTGTCGAGCTGGATGAACACAGCAGGCCAAGCAGCA